TATTAAAAAAACCAATATATATATATATATATATAAAATATTTAAAAAATAAAAAATAAAAAAAAAAGGATAATTAATGTTTGAATAAATATTTTCTAAATTATAAAATAAAATTTAAATAAGATATTATAATAAAAGATAAATAATATTTTATATATAAAATATTTTATATATTTATTTATATATCTTATTTTTTTTTCATCTTGATATGTATATCTAAAATTTAATTATTATTTTATAGTCTTATTAGTATATTTCTTAAGTTTAATCATATTAACATTACATTTAAAGGACATAGAACCTAAAATACAAATTATTAAGAATAGGGTTTAATATGAGTAATTTTTTTATTATTATTATTTTTTGTTATGTGGTTTAAAATGTAATTGTTTAATTTGTTTTTTTTGATATATCTTTATAAAATAATAATTTTAAATAAAATAAAAAAATAAATTATAAATAATAAAATAATTATTTTATTTACCTTTGTAAAATATACACAATAACAATATATTTTATATATTATTTACAAAAAATATTAGATAAAATATTTTATAATTATAATATACATTATATATAATATATGTATATATATATATATATATATTTTTTTTTATTAATTTTTTTTAATTATTATATTTTTATATAATATTTTAATTTATCATTTAAATATACTTTTTAATACAAATTAAATATTTTTTTCAATTATAATTATCAGTTAATATGGATAATATTAATATTTTTGTATATTTAATTGATATAATTAGAATTATAATAAAATTAACATTATAATTAAGTAGGAATTAATTTTAAATATAATTTATTATTAAATTGATTATTCTAATTTATATTTATAATTTTTTAAATATATTTAAATTTGTCATATATTCTTTTATTTATTCAGGATTTTAAATTATGTAATATTTTCGTATTTTATATATTTATTAATTATATTATAAAATATAAAATAAATAATATATATCTTATAATTTTTTATTGATAAAAAGTATGTTTTTTTTTTTTTCAAAAAAAATATATTTAAAATGAATATTTTAATATTTAAAAGTATTAATTATAAATTCAATTAAATTATAAAATATATATAGATCTAAATATATATTTTTTGAAATATAATATTAAGTAAAAGTATATAATTATTAATTATTATAATTTTTTAATATAACAATTATTTAAAAAATAGAATTTTCAAATAAACAATAAAAATAAATAATATTTAGTATTTTAAAGAATTTTATAATATAGTTAATATTATCAAATAAATTAAAAAAATATTTATAAATAATTAAAAAAAAAATTAACTTTTTAACAAAAAACTTTATTAATAGAAACTATTTTAATAAGTTTTTTTTTTTCATTAATGTTATTTTAATAAAGTAAGTAATAATTATTAAAATTATTAAAAATAAACTAAAAAATAAAATTATTTTCGTATATTCAAATATTATAAAATGATTTAAAATACCTAATATTTTTATAAAATTATCAAAATAAATTAAATATATATATATATATATAAATAATATAGCATATGTAATTATATTTTAATTAAATAATTTTTTTGTTAATTAATTTAATCTATCAATAATAAAATTTATATAAAAATGGGTTTTTAATTAAATTAAATTATAAAAAAATAAATATTTTTAATAAAATAAAATGAAAAGACTCATTTAACCCTAAATTTAATAACCTTTATTATCAGTTTAAGAGTCTTCAAACGCAAATGCCGTCATGATAAAATGAAAAGAATCAAAAATACAATTCAATACCCCTGATGATGAATCTTTAGATATTCGTAATTTACAAATAAACACCCCGTAATATTTTAATAACCTATGACATGACTTATTTCTAAAAT